ATTTCAAAATTTCAAAAGTCAAAATTTCAAAATTTCAAAAGTCAAAAGGCCAGGAACCAGAGAAAAAGGTGGGATGACGGTGAAAGAAGTCGCATCGTAACAAAATTTGAATTAGACTGAAAACGTTTCACATATGTAGGAATAATAGCGTAACGTTAGGTACACGCAAAGAAAAAAAAATCACTCGCAATAAAAAGCTGAAAATTCATATCCTGACTTATACTCAATATGAAAACGTCACATAAGATAGAGCGGTATAGTATAAACTTATATATCCCCATATTCTTAGAGAGGCAAATCAAATAAACCTCCTATGGCTTAACAGAAATGGGGTCTTGAATCGGGATTGGCATATACACTTTTACTCCACTTTCATTGCACAAGGCAGTAGTAACATTTAACGACATCGTAATAAAGTTGATATTTGAAGAAAAAAATGTCACCATGCCGTTACAGTTGAATAGGTTTCTGGTTTTCCAGGTTTCTGAGGATATTTACTGTGATATTTCAAAACCTTAGACAATTGTGTGAGACTTAACGTAACAGAGACGTAACAGCAGAATATACATTTCAAAATAGCATTTAAACTTCTTTTTATAATATCAAGTGACGGGACGAACAAGTCGTGCGCCTGACGGTAAGCTACACGCCTGTCCATAACAATTGCAGTGTCCTCAGAGCTTTAAATCGCAAAGATCTGAGAGACACTGCCACTGCGCCCGTCACCTTGAGACATAAGTTGATATATCCCATGTGCCTGTAATTTCACCACTAACTAAATGAAGCTTGCGCCCATTTCGTTCAAAGAAAATACTATTTAATTTTCTTATCGTAATTTTCTTAACCTATAATTATACCTGTTAGGAATTTTACCCCGCGCGGCCGCCGCGAGGTCGTTGAGCGGAGTCCGCGTTGTCGCTGTGCAGTTACAGCGTGCTTCTAACTGTCATGGCAAAATATTTATTTAGCTCTTACGTTTTAATTTAAATGAGCATCCCGGCCACGCGGGCGAGTCTGGCTTGAATTTGCAGCCGATCACCGATTGCAGGCGATCGCGCGATTGTATTATAAAACAATATTACTTTAACCTTACATTGACTTTTCGTACCATAAAGCGCTTAAAGTAAGCTTATTGCAATGTTAAAACTATGATGTTTTATTAGCAGCTTTGCGACTATTCATTCACTCAGGGGGCGTACCACAACCTCTTAAAACAATATTACTTTAACCTTACATTGACTTTTCGTACCATAACGCGCTTAAAGTAAGCTTATTGTAATGTTAAAACTATGATGTTTATTGGCAGCTTTGTGACTATTCGTTCACTCAGTTCGTACTACGCGACTTTAACATTAAAGTAATATTGCACTTATGTCAAATTTAGCAATCTTAAAATAGTTACACGGATGCAATTGAAACAATATTATTTTCAGTTTGATTGTCTTAATATTGATTTGTAATGATTAAAAGTTAAGTTGAACCTATTTATTTACATGCATCTCTTCAATATTTTGTTTATTTTTTATTTAATAGCAAATAGGAAATAATTTCTCGTTAAATAAAAATACCCGACCTTTATTTCGTAAAATTATGACAGCGCCATCTATATGCTCCTTGGCGAAACTAACAGTTGACACTAGACTATAGTTCCGAATTCACAACGTGACAATTAAGACTCAGCTTCTTTTATTTATTTTTCTTCATGGAAATGCGGAATAATTATTGAGAACGACGTAATTATAATAGATTTTATTATTACACACATTTTTTTAATAGTTACATTTCTCTGAATGTAAATAACATTAAGTACTTAAACATTATACTGCAATAAGACGATTCGAAACATCAAAAAATAAAGAGATGGCATTATGTAGTTCACATAGCGTTATCTCTTTCCTATTTTTAGTAAGGAATAGACAATATTGGGAAATCATTCGTTCTTTCAATCACTTGTGCAATAATACATTCCTTGGTTGACAGGTTCGTCATGGTACAAATATGAGTAATATTTATTATAATAAGCTTACTTTAAGCTTACATTGGAATAAGATTGTTTTTGGAAAAGCTATAGTAGGCCCCACACACCACATAAATTCTTCCGTGGTAGGCTCCAGATTCGCCATTAATGTACATGAAGGCGTGGTAAAACTTTCGCCTCGTGTAATTGAGCGCTTATAATTATATTCTATTAGGACTACAGCTTTATAGCCGTGATAGTCTAACCTAAGGTTTTATCTCAAGCAGAGCGGTGGTAGAATTTCAATTTTTTCGGAATTTATGAGCGAAATTCAAAATGAAATTTACCATTACCTTTTCCGTAAAGGAAAACACCGTGGTGAAACCTGCATACGTCTGCAAAGGAATGAATTACGTGTGTGACGTTCCCAATCCGTATTGGGCCCTCGTGGGAACTACAGACCAAGCCCTCCCATTGTGATAGAAGATCTTTACCCAGCAGTGGGACTATATATAGGCTAACTATTGTTTTTAGCCACAATGTCAAAAAATATTTGAAACAGTTTCCAACAAGCGAAAATTACGTGTAGATCTATTTATCGGAGTTTTAATGTAATGCTTGAAAATATTCAGGAACATTGTTTTCTATATCAAGGTTGTCAAGATAGTCGCCTTTAGAATTTTTAAATCATTCCAAATCTTCTTAGGTTCTTGGGTCTACAAAGCTTTACTATTGAGTAAAAGATGGAAGTACCATAAAACATACTAAAGTAGGCTCAACCGGTTCTGCAATATGTTGCAAAACAAAGAAAAACGAAAAATAATACACGTTTCCCAAAAGGTTTGTGCGACTCACATCGTCATCACATTGAATAGTTTTATCTAACATCGAGGCACACCCGAATCACTAGACCGAAAAACTTACCCAAGCCTAGAGGTTTTGTTGAAATTATGTTGCTAAAAGTTTATCCTGACTGACTAATTTTATTTGCACAAAACTTATGATAATGAACTCTGTTTGGACTAAATTATTGTCTACACTTTTTGAGTTAAAGTGACAGTTTCGTGGTACACCACGAATGTGTTTAGTAATTTAGTTTAATGTTGCTATAGTAAAATCCGTGACATCTTTCCTTAAATAAAACGCCTGGTTTGCTGCAAAGCTAAATAAGCAAACGGGACGTATCACGGGAATCACGGATGTTGCGGGAATACCCAACTATTTTAGTCACATCTTCTCAAAAATAATGTAACAACCACGTTAATTACTTGATCTTAAAGTATGGAATAGTATGTGTACTAGGAGCACCAAAGTGAAATTTTCTCTGAGGATACCCTGAACAAGAACACCAGAACTTATTAAGGAAAGTTTATGTCAAAATTGGTCCAACTGGGAATTTAATCCAAAACCTCCACTTCCAGCGCCCACAGTGTAAATCGTCGGGCACGCTGAAGTCACAGACTCTTTACAATTTTTAAAATAATCTCCAAACTCGTATGATGAAATTAGTACAATAATCGACAATTTAACACGAGCACTGATGAATTGGATGGTATTATATCAACTAATAAATCGTGGGTTTAATCAATTACCATCTCTATAAACAATTTTTCAGTAAATGGCTACTCATCGACAACAAAAAAGGAAAAGTCTACCCCATATTTACACCAGGAAGCCAGTCAGATCCCGGTACCATCTTATTTCACATTCAAACATATTGAGTACCGAAAGGCTTCATTCAATTAACTACACACACTGACACGTTTAGCGGAACAAATAAGTGAGAATGTAAAATAATAACATTTATATTTAAATAAGTAAGAATTAACATAAGGCAACAATGAAATTAACGTCGACTTAATACTTAAAGCTTTACTCAACCTAAATTGAAAAAAATCCATATAAAAAGAAAATTACTTTTACTAAAAATACTTTTTCGACTAAAGTTTACGAAATTTTCAATTACGCAAAATCAGCACCGAAACCACTCGATAAAACTCAATAGTAGGAAATTAAAATAATGAATGAAAAAATTACAGTCTATTAATTACCGGTGTGTATAATATATGTATATACAAAATATGATTGCTGCCCGAAGTCTTTGTCTGCCACTATCAACTTTATTATGAATATGAAAACTAAAGTTAATCGCAAATAAATAGATATAGAGGTTTTTGTTGACCTGAAGAAACCATTCAACACATTTAGTCATGAACTGCTCTTACACAAGTTGCATATTATTGTTATTAGAGAAACTACTATCAATAGAACTAAGTCTTCCCTTAATTGTCAACAACAGGTGGTTAAAGTTGCCAGAAGTCAGAGAACATCTTAAACAGTTATTCCTGGTATCCTACAGGGACCCTTTCCGGGACCTTTGCTGTTCCCAATCTACCTTAATAACTAATATACATGAAATCGGTTGGAAAGGTCATTTAATATTTACACGCTGATGACAAATGCTTATTGTATTACGGTGATAGTAATAACAAGGGTGGTTCAGAATGACTTAAGTACCTTTTATACGTAAACATTCATTAATTTTTGGCTCTGTATTAGTCTTATGATACCTTTTTTTTAATAAGTAAATAAGGGAAAAATCGAAAATGTAGCATGCACACTTAAACAGTGCCTATTCACTCTCGCCTTGAAAAGGCCCAAGATATAGCGTTCGGAAAACAAATCTGCAGGCTGGGAATTCCACTCCTTTGCCAAATAAATGTGAATGCGAGACGTTCGTACAAATCTTTGGAATATCTACAACATAGGCCTGGAACCCCAACCTACGTCTAGTCCCACGATAATGGAATGGGGAAGGCGGAATTAAATCATGTAATTCCATTGCACACTCAACGTGATGATGGAAGAAGAAAGATCACCTTATATTTCTTGACCGAAATTGTATTATTTTGAGAAATAAATACCTTAAACCTTTTTTTATAGTTCTCAGCCATCATCATAAATAAATATCATTACACGACATTTTCCAAAAAATTGCAGTATGTATTTAAAACAAAAAGCCCTAGGCATAATAAAGCCACATGTGACCTTAAGTCAAAAGTGACATGTTTTATCACATGAAAGTCAAAGAATAAAAATAATACGAACAACATGAAACAAATTAAGTATCAGTGAAATTTTATAACTCGCCTATTTAAGAGTCGACAACCTCAAATGGCTTTGGTTAATTTCGCGAAAGTGTTGTATCAAACACTTTGGAAAAAATATATAGTAAATTTGAGAATATAGACTTAGTAGTACACGGCGTAAAAATACGATTCCTAAACATTTTCACGGTAGAAAAAAAACACAAACTTACCTCGAAATTTTACAAGAAAACCGCTGTCAATAGGTACTTTACATCATACCAATGACTTTTTTTATATCAACTGAACTAAACAGAACACGAAAATGTTTGAAATGGTTTTAATTTTAATTCGTGCTGAGGTAGTATCGACCTTTAAGCAAGAAAAGTTATCGTCTAATTTCGTTCCTAGTACCTTTAAACCCCCTGAAAAGTTGTCAATTTGCAGATGTGGCCTTATTACACCGAGGGTGCGGTACAATTAATATAACGTACAATACTCAATATAATATAGGACAACGTACGGCAGATTTTCAAACAGTCACATACTTTCAGAGGACATGTTGATAAAACATTTTGTTATATGATAAATGAGGATTTAATCTTTAAACGGATTATCGAATTTTGCCAACCAAAGATAATAAATAATATAGAGACATTTGTATATCAGTAGAGAAGTGGTAAACACCTATTTAATTAAATAGATATTTACTTATTTATGAACATGGCTGTGTTCAAAGTTTTCGCGCTGATGTTGGTTTTAGCAACCGTCTCAGGTATTTTATTAAATAATTTTTCAATTGGAAAGTAGCTTATATTATATCTCTTATAAATCTTTCCTTGTTTAATTTGATAGACATATTTTATTTTTTAATGTGCACAGAAAAAAAAAATATGTTTTCTATTTAAACAACCGTACGTGTATTTAAAGTGAACACTTTTGACAAACACTCGATATGTCTGAAAATCGAAAACCCATTTTTCCCCCACAGCTATCCCAACACCAGATCCAGTGATCTTCAAATTAAATGACGGTCCAAGGTTTCAATACCGGGATGATGGTGAAGGTAACGCCTATCTCGTAGACCAATGGTTCAAAGTCAGTGATGCTCAACGGGCTGCACGATACAACCCTGACCTAAATAATGTTTACCATCTATTCACTAGGTATGTAGCAAACAAGTACCATTAAAATAATATCATAACATGTATTGGTGAATGGAGCTCAGCTATTATGGCAAATATATGGTGTGATAAAAAGTGAACATGTTAAACTTTGTCTTCTGTCAGAAAGAACCGAAACACAATAATCGAAATATATTCCATATACCTGGTATACATATGTATAGTACAGTCGTTCTTTAAATATAGTCGATATACTTTTTGTTTTCATTACGCAAACACGACCTGCATTCCATTTTCAGATTACAAAATATAGGTATAATTTAGATAATATTAATAATTAAAGAGATAATTTCTTTTGTCCCCAAATTAATTAATCAATCATTTGTTAAGGTTATTGTTAAATTACCATTCGGATTTTTCGTCATCAATAAATGATTAATTGAATTTATAGATTAGACCTTATGATGCATAACATGACGATGGTCAACATTTAAAACATTATTTTTTGCTACGTTATGTCCCAAGAACGAATGCCTTCTATAGGGGAAAGACCATCCCTGGCGTTGTAAAGTTGTTTTACAAACTTAAGTGGTTTGAATCACTTAATTTTATCTTATAGCCTCACACGCGTATGTTTTGACAATTGTCAAATTTGCAACGTACAAGGGGATGATTACACTCGCGAAGACACCGTAAAATTTTATGTATAAGAACATTTCAAATATTGTGTGACCCGGCAGATATTCAGCTTAAGATCGCGTTTAAAACTGTATTTGAAGTAAGCTGCTTTTTTAACAAATATAATACTTTCAGACAAAACCAGAATGTGAGCCAACCGATGCATTTCGGTAGTAGCTTCCTGCTTGCCAACTCCAACTACGACCCTCTTCGCCGGACTATCTTTATCGTTCATGGCTGGGCGCAATCTGCTACTTCCAATGTTAATGCTGTTCTTGTACCAGGTTTGTTCGAGTATTACTTGAAAAAAGGTTCTCGAGTATGCACTTGAAGACTACTTTTAATATTCATCATAATTTTAGAGTTATTCAGTGCCATTAAAACGAAATAATATAATAAAGATGACATTGCACACACGACTTGTTCGTCCTGTAACGAAATACAAATCAAAATACTTGTTCAACGAGTTAATCTCCTAACGTAAAACATTTATAACTCCTTAGATTATGCAGGACGGTACTATAGGACGGGACGGAACGGGTATTATAGGTTTTTCTGTGATGACGCAATCTAGGCATCTATGTCATGTAGATTATAGAATAGTATAATAACAAGACGAATGTTCACAGCTTTCCTTCAAGCCGAGGACGTTAACGTCTTTGTCGTGGATTGGAGCGCCGGCGCCGGCATATCCGCTGGTAATGACGCACCTCAGAACGCTGTTGCTTCAGGTTAATATTGAATTATGACTTTTACATGTAGTATTTAGAGATACGATAACTAACGTGACTTTTACTTTAATTATAACTTTTAGAGAAATGGTAACAAAGGAAAAATGAAACGATATAAAACACAGACGTAACACCACCTTGATATAACTCTATTCGGACTTAAATGCTCGATGCTCTTCTTGGAAAATATAAGTAGCAGAATAACACCGTCAGACTCATACGTTTGTGTCACCTATCCTTTAATAAATCGATCAAACAATACATTTATACAGTTCCCAAATGAAAATCCTTGACCTGAATCACAAGAACCTGTTGAAAAATATGTCTAAACTTCTTTTTAGGTCTAAGTGTGGCACGTACCATCGACTGGATCGTCTTTGAAACCGGTGCCAACATTGGTGGCTTTCACCTAGTCGGCTTCAGTCTTGGTGCCCATCAGGTCGCTGTGGCTGGTAGAAATGTGCAGAGTGGACAAATTCCTTATATCACTGGTGAGTAATTACTGATTCATTCCTTTTTTAATGCATGAGCCACAGATAATTAAGACTATGAAGAAGAGACAGAATTTGTAGCAATTCAGGGTGGATTTAGAGAGGGTAGTGATTGTATCAACACTGCACTAGGTTCCTTCATGGTTGGATTCCATTTTCTTTTTAATATCAGGTGGTGTGGAGTCATCTGCCTGTTACGTATTTTAAAAAATAACAGAAGATGATATTTCAATAAAGAAAATACTCGTACTATATGTATGTGGAATGTGAATTTAAAATATTATTATAATAATTCCTGTTAAAAACGCATTGTAATCAATTGCTATCTAGCTTTGGACCCTGGTGCGAACATGGAAGACAGTGGCCACATCTTCGGCCCTGATGCTGCCATCTACACAGAGGCTATCCACACCAACTCAGGTCTTATGGGGCATGGCGATGTTGTGGCTCACACCGACTTCTTCCCTAATGGCGGAGATTATCAACCAGGCTGTGGAATTGTGAACTTCGTCTGTAGCCACGAGAGGTATAGAAAAATACATACTGCGCCACGTACATATCGTTCACACACAAACAAAACACAGTCATTTTATGCTTACTCATCAACACATGGGATAAGTTGCAAATATAATAAACTTAATCATCAACCCATTTATTACGTCCCGCTGCTGTGCATGGGTCTCCTCTCAGGCGAGGGTTTAGGACATTCCGCTACGTATGCCGATTAGAGCCCGCGGCTTCTGCTTGAGCGATGGTAGGTCTAAACGTTAAGCTACCAATCTTTACCAATATTTTTTTCACGGTTTTCTGTTTCTTGCGATCCTTACAATATTCGTACAAATATGTAGTTAAACCAACACTGCACAAAAACTAAGCATTATATGCAATTGAGTAATCAATCGTACGCTCCCTTTGTATACTAATCAAATCTGCAAAATGATAACTTTTCTGAAGAGAGGTCTAAAGATTCTACGAATGAATTTAGTTGATAACTTTTGTACGCTCTAATTTACAATACATATATATATATATATATATATATATATATATATATACTGGCTGAAACAAACACTTAAGGTGATTTTATATAGACGTGACTTTACTTAGACCTGTCCTTGATAACTTTGATCTACAACCAGAGAAAATATTTTGTAAGCCATTCAGCCTACCTCCAAACGTGACAACAATCCTCAACGGCAGACATTTTCTTACATTATTTTCTTTTCTAAAACTCAACACAGAAACTTAAAACGCACTGTAACTTGAAAGGAATGAATACCCTTAGTGTAATAAGGCCACATCTGCAAAATGATAACTTTTCAGGAGAGAGGATTTAAAGATACTACGAAAGAATTTAGTTGATGACTTTTTTAGCGATGCAAACGTCATGCAGTAGCCATGTGGTTGCTAATCATCTACCTTTACTCACGCACGCGCGATTTTAAACAGCGATGCAAACGGGATGGAAGCGCAATGCAAGCGCGCGACTGCATCGATGCAATCGCCTATAAATCTCAAGTGTAGCGATACAATTACGCGTTTGTATCGATGCAGTCGCGCGTTTGCATGGATGCAATCGCCTATAAATCTCAAGTGTAGCGATGCAATCGCGCGTTTGTTTCGATGCAGTCGCGCGTTTGCGTCGCTGCAATCGCCTATAAATCGCAAGTGTAGCTGCTAAACGCCATGTGTAAGCACTGTAAATACGAGAGTAACAAAATTTCACAAATACATAATTTGTTTAATGTAGTTCGTATTATTTTTGACTTTTATCTTATAAAATTGGGGTGCATGAAAGAAGCCTCTCTGCATGGCGTATCATTCCTTTTCTGTGCGTCTGGCGCACTCTGGGGATTAAGAAGAAGAATCTGGATAAAAGCACTTTTGACGTATGATCCCATGTTGCTATACATTAAGACGAACATAACATAAACTTTATATTCTATATGATAAGATTGATTACATTTTTATAATTTTAAAGTTATTGCATGTCATGATGTGTGACCACCACTATATTCAATTATTTTTATAAAATTACTCCACTAATTTGTTATAATTTATTAATAGAAATATCGAACACTTAAGCTCAACTCACACTGGCGCAGAGTCGAAGCGTCGCGTCGCGTCCTGTTTTCCAACTACAACGCTTGGCGACACTCGCATTAGTGCGCCCGGATCACAGAGTGGTCACTCACTGCGCACAAGTGACACGCGGCGACACGCATCGACGCGCGTCGATGCCCGTTTCCATAATTGGATAGCACAAATTTGTACCTTAGTAATGGTAAAAATAAAAATAGAGACGAATATACCATACGCGAAAAACATGACGCGTCGCGACGCTTCGACTCTGCGACTGTGTGATTTGAAACAATGTCTTCTAGCAAACCATGCCAGTTATGCCAACTAATCCACGGAACGAACTAGCGGACCTTACGAATTTTTCTATGTGCTTGTTGTCTTTGTATTGGTTATTAACAACTTTTTTGCCGTAGCGCCATCTGTGAGAAATCTATTTCTTCACTCAGCCAGGTACGAGAAATCTATTTC